TAAATCATATCAATGTACTTAGTGCAAAGTGATATAAACTTCTCATTTTAAATGTGTGTTATTTAAAACTTCATTCAGAAATATGTAGCTAAAAAAATCCATCTAGGAAGAGTTTGAATATATCAAATTAGTTATAAATATACTTTACCAGGAAGTTGAAAATCAGAGAAGAAAACATATTGATAATATGTTATCATTGACTGGAAATATTTTAATTAAAGACTCCAATAAAAGATACCAACATAATGTAATAAACAACATAAATATGTAAATTATATTAAGATTAACTTTATTGCCTTGAATCAAGTTTTAGGTGTCATTATTAAAAAATATTTTTGGTCTAGAATTACATGAAATAACTGTTTAGAACATGCATATAGACATCAGAAACTTTGTCCATAAGTAGGGGATTTGTTTTTATATTAATACTGTTGAAAACATTGATTAATCAATTTATTGAATTTATTTAGATAATTTTGTGGCTTTAATTAAAATTAATTTCAAGTTATTTTGTCTTAAGTCTTAGTACTTTTGAAATATTTGATTTAAATGTCCTCACACATAATCTTGTGTGAAATGAAAAAAAAATGATTTTGGTTGGGGAGTAGATTCCCTTCACACCTGATGCAATATACACTTGTAATTATTTGGCATTGGCCTAACTGAGATATAAGAGTTGTCTCCCTTGGATTTCACCGACTTCTGAAATGAGTAAACATGTACACGTGCCGTACTTTGTAAGGTCAGTGTCAATTTTGTTTTTGTGGTCATTGTGATCACATATTTACATGAAGATTAAATTAATTAACTCAATATTCCTATCTAAGGTTGTGAATCTGGGATTTGTTACAGTAATCAAATCTAAAGTCAAAACCATAATAATTATTGTAGCAATATCAGAGCACCAAACCATTTTAGTAAACAATATGCTTCAAGACTCTCAGTAATGGCTGAAAATAAAATCGATCTTCTTAGGTTATCTTTGAGGTTTCTCAATACTATTGCATTTGTAAATTAACTTGTTGTGTTTATATTAAAGATAATGTACATGTTTGTATACTGCTACAAATTGTAACAATATAACATATATACAGAGAGAAGTAGATTTTAAGTGAGTGATAATTTTTTATACAACTGATCAATGATTGTAATTAAATGGTATTTTATGACAAATCACCAGTAAGTTGAAACAAGGTTGAAAATAAGATGTTTTTCAAAGTTTTGTTAGCTTAATTTTTTTTTGGAGACAAAAGATTCAGGCAATATCAGTACTAATGGGGTACTTTGGTTCCAGTGTAGAAAAGAGATTAAATTAAGCCAGCAGCAGTACATTGGATTGTTGGGATGTTGAGAGAATAGGAAAACTCAGTCAGGTTGGAGATGACTAAGTGTAGGAAAAGACAAACAGCATCCGAAGGAAAAGACTATAAACCATCATCAGTTGTTAGGATAGTAAGAATATAGTTTTCTCAGTGTAGAGGAAAACACATTGAAACAGTTCTTGGGATAGTCGGTAATAGTTAGTGTAGGTAAAGACTAAGCCAGCATCTGTACTTGGGATAGTTAGTGTAGGTAAAAACTAAGCCAGCATCTGTACTTGGGATACTGAATGTAAGAAAAGATCACAAAGTCCCCATGCCAGTGTTTAAGATAGAAGGTAACTGTTTATAGTGGAAGGATAGATGTCACTTTAGCTTTGATCAAATTTATGAATAGCAACTACAATATTGATTTTAGTTTGATTTGGTGTAATTTTGTGTGTGTATATACATTGTAACTTCTTATGTCTAATATCCAGTCATCCCATGTGCATAGAGCCATGCAAACTGCCATGTCGTTGAGTTGATAAGAAAATGAAATAACAAGCTCAATGGTTGCAGGTTACTTTCGGAAATAAAATATTGTGCACTGACATAGAAAGCTGACCTCACACTATATAAGCAATGCAGTGCTTACTCTGTACTAAAAGGGTTTCAGAGTAATTTGTGTGAGGATTTGCCATGGGCTGTGTTTATGTTGATCTTGTGATATTCCTATAGAGAGCCTACGTCAGCTTTATGTACATCAACATGTAACTTTCCTTCTTTTTGATCTTAGATGGGTGTGGTTAGATCAACAAATTGGTAGATTTCTCTCAGTCAGATGTGTATAACAATTTAGTCATACAAATTCATAAATGTGTTATCTTCAAACTGTTAGTAAACTTTGTAACAAGAAGACCTAATCCTGGTAAATACAGTTACATGGCCTGTTGGCATTTGGATGTGCTCTTGTCTGCTAAGATCGAGTTCTGATGAAAATTTTTAATGAACAAACCTCAATAGGCCCCAAAAAGTCTTTGTTTATGATTTTATCTGGGGAATATTTCACATCCACAGACCAAATCTGTTACAAACATGATGGTGTATAATATAGTGCAGGAATGCACTACATTTAATCATTAAAGAAAAAACCAAAGAGAATTTAGGTAGATACATGAACAGAATTTAACTGGTAATAGCCTTCCCTACTATGATGTAACGGTATTGATTTGATGACAGCCTCTGGGTTCAGAGTCATTATCAACTATCCTTTTAAGACTCTTCAAACAACTTCTTCTTTTGAACCACAGAGCATGATTTCACTCTGCTGTAAAAGGTAGTATGGAAAATAACTTAATCATAAATTAATAATCACTACCTTGCAGCACCAGCATAAGAGAAGTTCTCCCTAGCCGAGTGGTATATTGTGGCTAGTATTTACCAGGGGTACATACTCTCTAGCTGTGTGGTATATTGTTGCTAGTATTTACCAGGGTTACATCTCTCTAGCCGAGAGGTATATTGTGGCTAGTATTTACCAGGGGTACAGACCTAAAGAGAAGTTCTTCCTAGCGTAGTATATTGTTGCTAGTATTTACCAGGGGTACAAACTCTCTAGCTGTGTGGTATATTGTGGCTAGTATTTACCAGGGGTACAAACTCTCTAGCTGTGTGGTATATTGTGGCTAGTATTTACCAGGGTTACAGACCTAAAGAGAAGTTTTCCCTAGCCGAGTAGTATATTGTTGCCAGTATTTACCAGGGGTACATTCTCTCTAGCCAAGTGGTATATTGTTGCTAGTATTTACCAGGGTTACATCTCTCTAGCTGAGAGGTATATTGTGGCTAGTATTTACCAGGGTTACATCTCTCTAGCTGAGAGGTATATTGTGGCTAGTATTTACCAGGGTTACATTCTCTCTAGCCGAGTGGTATATTGTGGCTAGTATTTACCAGGGTTACATTCTCTCTAGCCGAGTGGTATATTGTAGCTAGTATTTACCAGGGTTACATTCTCGCTATCTGAGTGGTATATTGTAGCTAGTATTTACCAGGGTTACATTCTCGCTATCTGAGTGGTATATTGTAGCTAGTATTTACCAGGGTTACATCTCTCTAGCTGAGTGGTATATTGTAGCTAGTATTTACCAGGGTTACATTCTCTCTATCTGAGTGGTATATTGTGGCTAGTATTTACCAGGAGTACATGCTCTCTAGCCGAGTGGTATATTGTAGCTAGTATTTACCAGGGTTACATTCTCTCTATCTGAGTGGTACATTGTGGCTAGTATTTACCAGGGGTACAAACTCTCTAGCTGAGTGGTATATTGTGGCTAGTATTTACCAGGAGTACATTCTCTCTAGCCAAGTGGTATATTATGGCTAGTATTTACCAGGAGTACCTCTCTCTAGCCTAGTGGTATATTGTTGCTAGTATTTACCAGGGGTACAGTCTCTCTATCTGCGTGGTATATTGTTGCTAGTATTTTACTAAGGTCACAAACATATTATGAAATCATTTAAAACATAGAATGTTTTGATATGATTTTCATCAGCTGGGCATGGACAATATAGGACAATTGGGTCTCTTAAGATTCAGGTGTTGGGATTAAGCAAACCTCATATAAACAGACAGTAGAATTAGGACATGCTAAAATGAATATTTTCTTCATTATGTAACACTGATAGATTTTAAAAAGGTGAAGAATTCTCTTGTATAAATTGATGAGATAAGTAGTTTTCATGTCTTAGCTAAAGGAATCAAAGTGAATCATTGCCACTCATGCAGGTGTAAATGGAACACTAAAGATTCATTGTAAAATAAACTCATGATTAAAGGATTTAAAATAACCCCAACACCTTTATTTATTAGTTTTAGAAATTCTGTTTCTGGCGTCTTTCCTAAGTCACAAATACTTTAGAACCTCACATTAATTTTTTTCACGGTAATCTAAACCTGATAATTGACACATTTTGTGATAATATCTTCTCCTGAAGTCAGGTAATACAGTCTTATTAACCAATTAGGAACACAGACTTGTAATTATAATGGCGTCACTGATGACAGAGATTGCATTCCAAACAAATAACTTTATTGCTACATCTACATTTTCATCATGTTTTGTATATTCTGATAAAACTAATAACTCCAAGTCTCTATGTTAACATTATTCATCATCACTTGATTTGACAGGCTCTATGTCACATGTTGACGTACGTAGATGATGTAATAGAATTGCTAATTTAAGACAGGTAAAGATATTTACTTCAGGTATTGATGTACGGTAAATGTTCACCTGCCTGGTGTTATGATAGATTACAAATACTAAGTTGTTTGTTCTGTAACCTTGTCTAATTCAATAACACACAACCTGTACAAAATACAGTCACTTGTTTATTCTTAATCCTTGTCTTATTTTATACTTATGATCAGTTCCATGTCTCCGGACTGGTCTTAATTTCATACTAACAATATAGAATATATAAAGTTATTTTTGGGATTGTAAACTTGCTTTATTTAAGACTTAAAAAGACTGAATATATTTCCTTGCATGTTTGTTGACCTTGTCTTATTTCGGACTAATAGCAGGTGACAATCCAGTGTACAGACAAGAGTTTCCATTTCATACGAAATTTATGAAACAAGTCTATGAACTTTTCCTTACAATAGGTGTTGAACCTTGATTTCGGTGCACTGAAATGATCAATTTTGACAAGTTTCATATGAAAGAGAAACAAAGGTAGTTTCTGTCACATTGCATGATCAATTGTTTGTTGCAAATATTGCAAAAAACCTTATTTTCATGTCACTCTTGACTCAAGACTTATTTACATGATCTCCTGTAACTTGTGACATTTATCACACAATCTCTGAATCTATGCTGAATTATTACTTGTTTGGCAAACAACATGGTTATTATATGATAATGATTGTATGTATTTCTACAGAATGTCATCATTTTCTATATGTTTATTTTACAGCACTCCACAGCAGGGAGCATCTCTGCCTCCATCAAAGATATATCAGTCGGTTGGAAATCTTGCCCCTTTGCAGCGCCCGCCAATCAGCTGGGCCAGACAGCAGGGCATCCTGTCGACGAAACCTCAATTGCCCTTACCCACGCGACAGATGACTGTTGGGCCTATGCAGGCCAGAGGCAGGGTAAGTGTGTGTATGAACATAGAACCAAAGTTGAACACAGATCATGTTTATAGTTTCATCTTAATTTCAAGTACATGAAAAAAAATGAAAAGTAAAATTAAGACATCAATTTCCTTTTGTCTTTAAAAAACCTTTAATGATAAAATTTTCAAAATGACACCATATTAATATGAAAATATTTGAAGAACATGTGGGAAAGATATGTAACAATTGTTTTTATAAATTCTAGCCAGAGCAAAGGAAAATGGATTCCAGTTTTTATGGTGACAACCTACCCTCTAGTCAGACCCTTGGTGAGCACTCTCTCATGGGAGGAGAGCTTGGCTCATTTGATGCCTCTATTTTTGCATCCAGTCCTAATTCCTTATACATGTATGAACAAGAGAAAGCCGATATGCAGAGCTCTCTCAATGTGCCCAATTGCACCAATCCTAACAATATGTTTTTCTCGGATGATTTTGATTTGGAGGACACATATGAAACATCACAAGATATTCCTCTTGTTTGTGATAACTTGTTGGTGGAACCTGCTACCTCACAAAGTATGGTGGACGAGGGACAAAAGAAAAGTCTTCAAGCACAGCTTAGTAAATGTGATGATGTGTTCGAGGATCCAACATTGGCAGAATTAAACTTTCCTCCATTGTTGGATGACATTGTGAATCTCACATCCAATTGTACCTCAGCTGAGGCTCAAGGTCAAAGTTCAACATCAGCAATGCAAAAACCCTTTACACAAGATTCTTTGAAACCCTGGGTTATGTTAAAGGGAAAGTCAGAAAAGATAGAATCACAATCCACAGCTTCACGTCCATTGTCGTCTGCTTGGTCACTAACAGGAATATCAACTTCATCAACAGTTACATGGCCAATAGGAGGATTGTCATCACCATCCACAACAGATACATACATAAACAGACGAACCCTCTCCACTTCTAGCATGACTAATAAGCCCAGTGTGCCAATACGGCAGATTTCTGAAACTGTATCCAGTTCAAGAGATATCAAAAGTGAGCTGCCTCCCCTGTCAAATATTTGTAACATTGGGAGTGTTGGTGGGGACAAATGTAATAATCAAGTGCTAAAAGCATTGATTGAAAACAAGTCTCCTCCTCGGATCACAACAGCCACTCCTTCCACATCTACGCTTGGTAAGCGGCGGAGCCCTCTGTCAGTTTCAACCTATGACCCAAGTGATGTAGACCAAAAATGGGAGGAGATACGACAGTTCATACATGACGATGAGGCCAACCTTCCTACACGGTCAAAAATAAAGAGGGAGAGTATTGGTGAGTTGAGCTGTAATAAGTTGTCGTGTATAGAAAGTGTTATATGTATGGATAAAGACTGATCCTTTTCTTTGTGCTGTCATGTATTTTCATGTTTATTAGAGAAACAGCAATTAACTTTTATTATTTTTCTCTGAATACTAATTTACTTTATTTTCGTTTTTCTTATTTTTTTTTTAAGTGAGCTTTTAATTACAAGTTTGGTTGTTTGTTTAAACTAACTAGGAGACCGTTGCTTGTTGTTATAAATCTATTTCTGTGTGATAGTGTTGTTTTCAGACTCCGAGACAGTTGGTTGTTGTTATAAATCTCCATTTCTGTATCATACTGTTGTTTCCAGACTCGGTTGGATCATTGGCATCTGTAGATGAAGGAGAAAGTGATGAAGGAAGCAGCAGTGATGATGAGGAGTGGAATGATTCAGATTCAGGTAATAACCGCTGTGTTTTTGTTGACAGATTACCACCCAGTCTCACCTATACCTGTAATCAATTATACGTTTGGTATATAGACAGGTGAGGCTGGTACCACAAGCACCCAGTCTCACCTATACCTGTAATCAGTTATACGTTTGGTATATAGACAGGTAAGGCTGGTACCACAAGCACACAGTCTCACCTATACCTGTAATCAGTTATACGTTTGGTATATAGAAAGGTGAGGCTGGTACCACAAGCACCCAGTCTCACCTATACTTGTAATCAATTATACGTTTGGTATATAGACAGGTGAGGCTGGCAGCTGTGATAAAATCAGTTTGTATATACTTTATAGATAAATGTTCTTACAGTCCACCTGTAGTTATCTGACAATGCATTTTGTGATTGTAATTCCAGAATACTGTAGATTACAGTATATAGTTCTTGTTTTTCATGGTAAGTAAACATTGTCCCCTTAGTGCTTGGGATTTATCATGTGTTGTATGTCTTTTGACTAAATCATGGGCAGGGTATCTGTAACCTATATACAGTATGTATAATACTTTATATGATCAATTTTATGCTGTTAAACTCTTTCAGATTCTGATAACAACCAGGATTCATCTTGGTCAGCTAAGAAGAAAAAGGACTCTTCAAGTAAGAAAGACCAATATTTCTGGCAGTACAATATCCAGTCTAAAGGGCCAAAAGGTACACGCATGAACTTTGACCTTGAGCCTAAAAATCCACATGTGTTACTGGACTTTGAGGATCCTGTGTTTGATATTGAAAAAGGCAGAAAGCTTGGACTTTGTAAATCAATAAGACATGGAGGAAAAGCTCGCAAAGGTGACGGGAACAATGTGGAACCAAACCCCAAAAAACTAGGATCGATCGGACTACAGTTGGAAAAAATCAACAAACAGATCAATGCATTTGCTCCTCTCTGTGATATGCCTGTTTCAACACGGAACAAGTCAAAGAAGGAGAAAAATAAACTGGCATCACGGTAAGAACAGAACCTGAATGACTTACAAAGATCAGATTTATTATTCAGCAATAAGCCCATGTCTGGTAATAAGCCCACCCCAATATCTATTGCTGTCCAGCAGCTAAAATACAGTAGTTGTTAATAAGCCCACCCCAATATCTATTGCTATTCAGCAGATTAATTACAGTACTTGTTAATAAGTCCATCCCAATACCTATTGCTGTCCAGCAGCTAAAATACAGTAGATGTTAATAAGCCCACCCCAATATCTATTGCTATCCAGCAGATTAATTAAAGTACTTGTTAATAAGCCCACCCCAATATCTATTGCTATCCAGCAGATTAATTACAGTACTTGTTAATAAGCCCACCCCAATATATCTATTGCTGTTCAGCAGATTAAATATATATATATATATACTCGTTAATAAGCCCACCCCAATATCTATTGCTTTTCAGCAGATTAAATACAATACTTGGTAATACAGACTGGTCTGTCAAATAATGACAGATCAGAAATTTTCTGACAGTGTTACTGATTGCTATAAAAGTGCAAATTTTAGTGGTGACCTTATTTTAGGGCTTTTCACACTGTAAACTTTGTGCTAAAATACAAAACCACTTATTGCAGCTGCTTAATGCTGTTTAAATAGTAATCATTCTAGATGTGCAAATTTACCACTGGACTAAATTTTCAAAGAGTGAGAATGTTTTAAAGCTTTGCACCAAAATAAAGTATGTTTACAGTGTTTCAGAGAGGAAGAATTGTTGTTTAAATGTAACCTTAAGCATTAAGTATATGTTTTCCTTGTAATAGATCATTTAGTTATCTGTTGTATTGTTAACATTGTATGGACTTTATTGGTCGAAGTAAGTACCTAAACCATGATGTCACTCTTGTGTAACAGAGCATGTCGTCTGAAGAAGAAAGCTCAACATGAAGCATATAAAGTGAAGTTGTATGGATTGGAGTTAGAACACAAACAGCTGATGACAGTGATGGAGGAGATCAAATCACATGTACGTGATGTCCTGGACAAGAAAGGAAAGGAAGGGAACCTGTCATCACATCTAGAAAGTCTCATCCAAAAACACCTCAGTAAGTTATCTCTACTAACACTAATCTGAGTATTAATTCAGTGTGTAAGTTATCTCTACTAACACCAATCTAAGTGTTAAGTCAGTGTGTAAGTTATCTCTACTAACACCAATCTAAGTGTTAAGTCAGTGTGTGAGCTATCTCTACTAACACCAAGCTAAGTGTTAAGTCAGTGTGTGTGTAAGTTATCTCTACTAACACCAATCTAAGTGTTAATTCAGTGTGTGAGCTATCTCTACTAACACCAATCTAAGTGTTAATTCAGTGTGTGTGTAAGTTATCTCTACTAACACCAAGCTAAGTGTTAATTTAGTGTGTGTGTAAGTTATCTCTACTAACACCAAGCTAAGTGTTAATTCAGTGTGTGAGCTATCTCTACTTACACCAATCTGAGTGTTAATTCAGTGTGTGTGTAAGTTATCTCTACTAACACCAATCTAAGTGTTAAGTCAGTGTGTGTGTAAGTTATCTCTACTAACACCAAGCTAAGTGTTAATTCAGTGTGTGTGTAAGTTATCTCTACTAACACCAAGCTAAGTGTTAATTCAGTGTGTGTGTAAGTTATCTCTACTAACACCAAGCTAAGTGTTAATTCAGTGTGTGAGCTATCTCTACTAACACCAATCTAAGTGTTAAGTCAGTGTGTAAGTTATCTCTACTAACACCAATCTAAGTGTTAAGTCAGTGTGTGTGTAAGTTATCTCTACTAACACTAATCTGAGTGTTAATTCAGTGTGTGTGTAAGTTATCTCTACTAACACCAATCTAAGTGTTAATTCAGTGTGTGTGTAAGTTATCTCTACTAACACCAATCTAAGTGTTAATTCAGTGTGTGTGTAAGTTATCTCTACTAACACCAATCTAAGTGTTAATTCAGTGTGTGTGTAAGTTATCTCTACTAACACCAATCTAAGTGTTAATTCAGTGTGTGTGTAAGTTATCTCTACTAACACCAATCTAAGTGTTAATTCAGTGTGTGTGTAAGTTATCTCTACTAACACCAATCTAAGTGTTAATTCAGTGTGTGTGTAAGTTATCTCTACTAACACCAATCTAAGTGTTAATTCAGTGTGTGTGTAAGTTATCTCTACTAACACCAAGCTAAGTGTTAAGTCAGTGTGTAAGTTATCTCTACTAACACCAATCTAAGTGTTAAGTCAGTGTGTAAGTTATCTCTACTAACACCAATCTAAGTGTTAATTCAGTGTGTAAGTTATCTCTACTAACACCAATCTAAGTGTTAAGTCAGTGTGTAAGTTATCTCTACTAACACCAATCTAAGTGTTAAGTCAGTGTGTAAGTTATCTCTACTAACACCAATCTAAGTGTTAAGTCAGTGTGTAAGTTATCTCTACTAACACCAATCTAAGTGTTAAGTCAGTGTGTGAGCTATCTCTACTAACACCAAGCTAAGTGTTAAGTCAGTGTGTAAGTTATCTCTACTAACACCAATCTAAGTGTTAATTCAGTGTGTGTGTAAGTTATCTCTACTAACACCAAGCTAAGTGTTAATTCAGTGTGTGTGTAAGTTATCTCTACTAACACCAATCTAAGTGTTAAGTCAGTGTGTGAGCTATCTCTACTAACACCAAGCTAAGTGTTAATTTAGTGTGTAAGTTATCTCTACTAACACCAATCTAAGTGTTAAGTCAGTGTGTGAGCTATCTCTACTAACACCAATCTAAGTGTTAAGTCAGTGTGTAAGTTATCTCTACTAACACCAATCTAAGTGTTAATTCAGTGTGTGTGTAAGTTATCTCTACTAACACCAATCTAAGTGTTAATTCAGTGTGTGTGTAAGTTATCTCTACTAACACCAATCTAAGTGTTAATTCAGTGTGTGTGTAAGTTATCTCTACTAACACCAAGCTAAGTGTTAATTCAGTGTGTGAGCTATCTCTACTTACACCAATCTGAGTGTTAATTCAGTGTGTGTGTAAGTTATCTCTACTAACACCAATCTAAGTGTTAATTCAGTGTGTAAGTTATCTCTACTAACACCAATCTAAGTGTTAATTCAGTGTGTGTGTAAGTTATCTCTACTAACACCAATCTAAGTGTTAATTCAGTGTGTAAGTTATCTCTACTAACACCAATCTAAGTGTTAAGTCAGTGTGTGAGCTATCTCTACTAACACCAAGCTAAGTGTCAATTCAGTGTGTGTGTAAGTTATCTCTACTAACACCAATCTAAGTGTTAAGTCAGTGTGTGAGCTATCTCTACTAACACCAAGCTAAGTGTCAATTCAGTGTGTGTGTAAGTTATCTCTACTAACACCAAGCTAAGTGTTAATTCAGTGTGTGTGTAAGTTATCTCTACTAACACCAATCTAAGTGTTAATTCAGTGTGTGTGTAAGTTATCTCTACTAACACCAAGCTAAGTGTTAATTCAGTGTGTGAGCTATCTCTACTTACACCAATCTGAGTGTTAATTCAGTGTGTAAGTTATCTCTACTAACACCAATCTAAGTGTCAATTCAGTGTGTGTGTAAGTTATCTCTACTAACACCAATCTAAGTGTTAAGTCAGTGTGTGAGCTATCTCTACTAACACCAAGCTAAGTGTTAATTCAGTGTGTGTGTAAGTTATCTCTACTAACACCAATCTAAGTGTTAATTCAGTGTGTGTGTAAGTTATCTCTACTTACACCAATCTGAGTGTTAATTCAGTGTGTGAGCTATCTCTACTTACACCAATCTGAGTGTTAATTCAGTGTGTAAGTTATCTCTACTAACACCAATCTAAGTGTCAATTCAGTGTGTGTGTAAGTTATCTCTACTAACACCAAGCTAAGTGTTAAGTCAGTGTGTGAGCTATCTCTACTTACACCAATCTGAGTGTTAATTCAGTGTGTAAGTTATCTCTACTAACACCAATCTAAGTGTTAATTCAGTGTGTGTGTAGCTATCTCTACTAACACCAATCTAAGTGTTAATTCAGTGTGTGTGTAAGTTATCTCTACTAACACCAAGCTAAGTGTTAATTCAGTGTGTGAGCTATCTCTACTAACACCAATCTGAGTGTTAATTCAGTGTGTGTGTAAGTTATCTCTACTAACACCAATCTAAGTGTTATGTCAGTGTGTGAGCTATCTCTACTTACACCAATCTGAGTGTTAATTCAGTGTCATGCAGAATCTTTCAAAGAATGGAATAAAATCATGAAAAAAGTTACAGACTTGTACATTTGTATGTAGTAGTTGATTATTCTGATAAACAATAGAATTATTAAGATACAATTTACTTACATTTCCTTTTAACTGATAAAATTAAATTTGTTTTTTTTAGCTGTAATGGTTGCTGGACACACAACAGATTTTGTTAACAAAGTAATTAAGAAGGTTAGAGATGGTGATCCCACAGGTGGCCTTGGAACATGAATAGAATTCAGTGTCATGTGAAAAGGTCAAGGACAGCACCAGAGGATTCGAGCCGGGGCTGGGAAGATTCTAAAGCCCCACATCCATTCAAGTGTTCATAAATAATTTGATCATGAGATGCAATACTGCGATCATTTCAATAAAGTGAATTTCAATCATTTGACTATGAATCTGCAGTGATCATGTGACCTTGTCAAAGTTGTCATGTGACCTCAGTCTTGTGATCATGTGACTTCTACAATTGGACTTCACCAACATAGCTGTCCCAACATTGTCATATGGGACATTTCGGATTTGTCTTCAACACAATTTAGCCATAAGAAATATCAGTATCCCTGTATTCTACACATGTATATTATTGTGAAGAAAGGAGACATATGTATTGATCACATGCTGTAAAAACAATAAACATTGATTTTTGTAGTTGTAGTGTAAATGTTTGTGTAGCTTTCCCGCGAGTTTGTGTAAAGTAAGAAATGGAACAGTTACATGACACAGTACACTGTTGTCATTTGGGATGAATAGTGATTAATTCCCCTGTTTGAAAATGTTACTCCCTACTGCAGTGTAGCAGGTCCTGAAAGCTACTGTGATCATTGTACAGCCTTCATATAACTTTTATAGTGTACAGGTATGTACACATGTCTCATCTGACATTGATCTAACTCAATCATCAAGTTGTTTATCACTTACGATGATACTGAAAACGTTGAGCATTTATACATATGTAAGATATTAATGTCAAATGTGTAATGTGATTTACCAAGATTTGACCCCAACATTGCGAAATTAACTAGGTAAACCAGTTCAGGTTAATAACAATTAACCAGATTAGCACAATTATGTTAAACAAGTGTAGGACGATTATAGTAAACTAGTTTAAGGTCCTTGAGATAAGCAAGTTTAGGATGATTATCATATCAAGCTGAGGGTGATTATGATAAATCAGTTAAGGATTATTACAATAAACAAGTTTGGGATGATTATGATAAACTTATTTAGGATTTTGAGATAAACCAGGTTAGGGTGATCAGTTTAGCATGATTAAAGCAGTGATGGATGATTATGATCGACGATGGAAAACAAGTTAACATTATAAAAATACACCATTTTAGGGTGATAGAAGTGAACCAGTGTGGGTTTAGGTTGATAGAAGTGAACCAGTGTGGGATGGTTGTGATAAACCTGTTTAGGTTGATAGAAGTGAACCAGTGTGGGATGATTGTGACAAACCTGTTTAGGTTGATAGAAGTGAACCAGTGTGGGATGATTGTGACAAACCTGTTTAGGTTGATAGAAGTGAACCAGTGTGGGATGATTGTGACAAACCTGTTTAGGTTGATAGAAGTGAACCAGTGTGGGATGGTTGTGATAAACCTGTTTAGGTTGATAGAAGTGAACCAGTGTGGGATGATTGTGACAAACCTGTTTAGGTTGATAGAAGTGAACCAGTGTGGGATGATTGTGACAAACCTGTTTAGGTTGATAGAAGTGAACCAGTGTGGGATGATTGTGACAAACCTATTTAGGTTGATAGAAGTGAACCAGTGTGGGATGGTTGTGATAAACCTGTTTAGGTTGATAGAAGTGAACCAGTGTGGGATGGTTGTGACAAACCTGTTTAGGTTGATAGAAGTGAACCAGTGTGGGATGATTGTGACAAACCTGTTTAGGTTGATAGAAGTGAACCAGTGTGGGATGATTGTGACAAACCTGTTTAGGTTGATAGAAGTGAACCAGTGTGGGATGGTTGTGACAAACCTGTTTAGGTTGATAGAAGTGAACCAGTGTGGGATGATTGTGACAAACCTGTTTAGGTTGATAGAAGTGAACCAGTGTGGGATGGTTGTGATAAACCTGTTTAGGTTGATAGAAGTGAACCAGTGTGGGATGGTTGTGATAAACCTGTTTAGGTTGATAGAAGTGAACCAGTGTGGGATGATTGTGACAAACCTGTTTAGGTTGATAGAAGTGAACCAGTGTGGGATGGTTGTGATAAACCTGTTTAGGTTGATAGAAGTGAACCAGTGTGGGATGATTGTGACAAACCTGTTTAGGTTGATAGAAGTGAACCAGTGTGGGATGGTTGTGATAAACCTGTTTAGGTTGATAGAAGTGAACCAGTGTGGGATGATTGTGATAAACCTGTTTAGGTTGATAGAAGTGAACCAGTGTGGGTTTAGGTTGATAGAAGTGAACCAGTGTGGGATGATTGTGACAAACCTGTTTAGGTGGATAGAAGTGAACCAGTGTGGGATGATTGTGACAAACCTGTTTAGGTTGATAGAAGTGGACCAGTGTGGGATGATTGTGATAAACCTGTTTAGGTTGATAGAAGTGAACCAGTGTGGGATGATTGTGACAAACCTGTTTAGGTTGATAGAAGTGAACCAGTGTGGGATGATTGTGATAAACCTGTTTAGGTTGATAGAAGTGAACCAGTGTGGGATGATTTTGATAAACCTGTTCAGGTTGATCTAAGTATATATAACACTTTTTTTACTTCATTTACATTGTACTGTATAACTTGCTATAAGTATTCATAGATATATCTGTTTGAAGACATTTATTTTATAACACTCTCTCATTGTCAGCCAAACAATTTTTAATTAAGGCACATTTTCAATGTTATTCTGCTGGCATTACCTGATACCACTTCAGAGTGAGCTGATTATATGAAGTAAATATACCATATTTTCTGGCTTTGAAGACAAAGCTGCAAAATCAAATTTTAAGAATTTATTATTTAGATCCACATATTAGCCACACTGGAATGTAACTTGCACCATCTCTGAAGATGTGGTAACCGTTATGTTGACCAAATTTTGTTGATATAAGAGACATTTAGCATTACATGAGGAAATTTAGTGAAAGGAAACATTAAAGAACTGTATGTTTCTTCTGATGTGATAATTGCCTGAAATATTTTGTAAATTTTGATCATTGATAGAAATTTAAATATTTTCATATGTTATAGTATTTTATAAAGTCTAACTCTTCAACAATAACCAATTTTTTTGAAATGAAAAGACATAATTATGTGTAATGTAATTGACATCTAAAGACATATTTTGATATACCTTAAAAGTGATTTTTTTTAATCTATAAAGAGATATCTTAATGAAATGTGAAAATGATTATAATGTCTCAATTTTGATAATTTTACATTTATAGAGTTCTTTATGAGCTCTTAGTGTAAAAAAAGTTACAATTTTTGTTGGAGCTCATGTCTAAGTGGTTAATGAATTAGGTAGATAGACTATGTCAGAGTATTTCTGATAAGGGTATATGGAAGAGTTAAGACAGGATTGGTAGTCTTTGTAACTTACAGTATAAGATGCAATATCCATAAATTCAATAGCAATAACTAAATATTTTGGTTGAAATCTTCTGAAAAACCTACAGTTGTTGGATTTTGTAGTGGAGCAGTGATTATTTCTATACCAGGTAGGCAGTACCTACCTAATCATTCCAGTATCAGTCTATGCATGCAGATCAAATAATTGGGAAACCTCGTCCATTTTTAATAATTACCTTAATTGTTTTTCAAATGTAAATAAACCAGTTTCTTTTTTTTTTCATTTCAGATCAGAACCATTGTTACAAGTACTTTCTATTAATTTGTTTTCAGATCTGAGTTTTGCATTTAACATCTGTATGTTGTCTTTTCTGTTGATATATATATATGTGTTGTCAGACATCAGGACAACACTTCCGAGCTGTGTGCTGTCAGATTGAAGGTAGATATGCCCTAGCTCTATGTTGTCAAATCAGAGGTAGACACTTCCTGTCTCTATGTTGTCAGATCAGAGGAATGTACTTCCTGTCAGTATGTTGGCAGATCAGAGGAATGTACTTCCTGTCATTATGTTGGCAGATCAGATCAGAGAAATGTACTTCCTGTCTGTATGTTGGCAGAACAGAGGAATGTACTTCCCGTCTGTATGTTGTCAGATCAGAGGAATGTACTTCCTCTCTGTATGTTGGTAGATCAGAGGAATGTACTTCCTGTCAGTATGTTGTCTGATCAGAGGAAAGTACTTCCTGTCTGTATGTTGTCTGATCAGAGGAATGTACTTCCTGTCTGTATGTTGTCTGATCAGAGGAAAGTACTTCCTGTCTGTATGTTGGCAGAACAGAGGCATGTACTTCCTGTCTGTATGTTGTCTGAACAGAGGAATGTACTTCCTGTCTGTATGTTGTCTGATCAGAGGAATATACTTCCTGTCTGTATGTTGTCAGATCAGAGGAATGTACTTCCTCTCTGTATGTTGGCAGAACAGAGGAATGTACTTTCTGTCTGTAAGTTGTCAGATCAGAGGAAAGTGTTTCTTGTCTGTATGTTGGCAGAACAGAGGAATGTACTTCCTGTCTGTATGTTGTCAGATCAGAGGAAAGTACTTCCTGCCTATATGTTGTCAGATCAGAGGAATGTACTTCCTGTCAGTATGTTGTTTGATCAGAGGAATGTACTTCCTGTCTGTATGTTGGCAGATCAGAGGAAGACATTCCCCTCTTTATGTTGTCTGATCAGATGTAGACACTTTCAGTCTGTGTGCTTGTGTCAGAATTAGACCAAAAATTGACCTTGGCTAAGATATTCTATTTGATTATATGAATTAAATCAAATCTTGTTATTGTTAAATATTGTTAAGTTTTAAAGCTGGGCACTCCCTACACAATGTCTAGGTGAATGGTAAAGATAAGAGATATATATTTTTGTTGTGGGACAGATCCTGACTGATAGAGAGGCAGTAGGATTGACAGATATGTATTTTGAGATTCGTGGTGTCTTTCATCTGTTAGTAATCATGTCAGCTAACTTACCAAATATTTATATACTGCATTGATGTGATATGTACAATGGAAGCCATTGTTATAGTGATTGTTTTGATATTAAGAATATGTCAGTACTTGGAAATAGTTGTTGCTAGTTATGACTTTTCTTTGTCAGGAATGTAAAGGTTCTGGCCTTTATGATGAAGTATTATACTGTTAAGAGGCCAATTTTCCTGGTTATTGAAGTTTGTGAATTTTTATCTTGAATTAAAATTAATTTCTATTTATATTCATCAGATTGAATTTCACAGATTACCTCTTCAGTAAAACATCATGTATTTTCAAATAAAATGATTTGTTTCTAACATGCTTCTTATTTGTTATTTCTACATTTTCTACAGACCTTTCTACAATATTAAGCATATTGGTGTTTCCATATTAAATATTCAGTTCAGAATCTAAAAGTCAGAGCTTTGATGATTCAACTGTTTACTTATTCTTCAGCATAATATACATGAATCATTGATTTCTTTAAATTGAATCTCATTAAAAAAACCAGTCTGGTTGTATATTCCCTTTCTTTAAACTGACGAAACTCTTAGTGAAAATGATGACAATTTATTGATGTGATTTAATGCAACTGAGGATATTGGCAAATTACATAAACAAAAATGACTATATTTCTCATATTTCTAAAAGATCTTCCCAAAAACCAATCTAATCAAAGATTACAGTACAAAGTTGTATTTAGAAAGATTCATTTCCCTGTAATCATCACACAAAATCAGGTTAAAAATTACCCAACCTCAAAATAAACAACATGTTATTCATATTTCTGTATGATATGTAAAATGATCTGGAAACCAATTGTCATTCACTTGTGATATTTTTTTCTTTAAAAATTGTGATCCATGCAAATTCATGAAATTCAGACTAGGACAAAAACACTGATTTAAGTTTAGCATAGTATTGTCAGTCTTGTGGAAGTCAACACAAAGCTTTTAAGATGTGGAAATTTCAAAAGTTTGTAGCTGCCAAAGATTTAGATGGTTTATAAGAATATGATATTTAAAATACTTCAAAATCATCCAGTTGTGATTAAATACAAATGATCTTATTTCTTAATTATACCTAAGGAACTATTAAGTAATTAAATTTCTGTACATGAAAATCAATATTTAATGAACCATAAAGCAGGTAAAACTGGGATCAAATTGGATCCAGATATATCAAAATTGTTTATCTTATTAGCTCATGTGGCCTTAAGGACGAAAGTAACTTATTCTTATATATTTGTCTTGTGCGCATAGGACGTCACGATCACCTACCTACGATACTTATGGTTCAGACCTCGTTTTCATTCATACATTTTTCAACAGGAAAGTATTTCTTAGCTTGATGTCTTCAGTAACAAACCAGACAAATTGTCCCTTGGAACACTTTGTCTAATTCTCAGGAGTCTACGTGTAAATCTTTATTGTGTTCATAGTTTATCCCTAGTTTTATTGAATGTGAGTTTGGGTTATGATTTCTGGTTGTGGTTAATGTTGACATGTTGGTATTTTTCCGAGTATCGTTGTAAGTTAAGGATGGGGTGTGTCGTATATAATAGTGTCGGATGTGGTAAGTAATATGGGGACAAGATGTAAAATGTTTCTGGAGTTCGAATAAGAATGACGATCTAAAATATCATTTCTGTGCTGTTATAACTGTCTTACAATTATTTATGTGATTCCGGAAATTAGTCTGATTGTCTGGAGAACGATTAGTTATTTTTTTAGTCTGTGCAGAGACATATATATACGTCTCTGGTCTGTGTCTTTTCCTAATTTCATGCTGAAAGACCTAATCGAACCAGGGATTGTTATTTTGATCGAAGCGAAAATGGTTTTGTCAGAATGCACTTCTCGACAATGTCAACATATTTATCTGTAAATGTGTCGTCGATAACAAATTTAAGATGCAGATAGAGTCAGTATCGTCTGGGACGTCGTTAAAATGTTTATAATTAGCTTAATTATAACATGTAAGTCTTCTTTTGTATGCCTTTTAATAAGCAGCCCCATCAGTTCAACAGTGGTCGCTTTGTTATCAGAATGTGAATTACGTCAGCAAAAAATAGTCAATGCACTTGAGGACAGTATGGGGTCAAGTAGCGTAGCGCTCGTGCGTCCGATGCGTGTCGGGTTGTGTATTACGTAAGTCAGATGAAACGATCATGGATACTATCGGAAATTGCATGCGTGTTTTCTACAGTCAACAAATCAACATTTATGTCATCAACAATCACTACGAGTTTCATGAAAAGAACATATAAGGGGGTGGGGAGTCGAAAAAGTGTTTCGGAGTGTGTAGTATTCGGAGGTCTGGTGAAGTACACAACTTCTTTACTTCTTGGAAACTTTATCTCACTCAAACTAATTTCACACACCCGAAATTCTAAGTTAGTCATGTGTAAACAGTTATCCTTCTCCCAGGTCTCCGCGATCCTTGCATAGCCATCTAGGTATCAGGGTGAGATTCGGTGGCATAGTTCGATTATGGTCGGGTTCGACGACAACCCAAGTATTGAAGATACGGTTAAAAATCTCGATTTGTACCAACATCAGTGACTCAGACAATAGCATTATCAGATGCCAGCTTTTCCTACAGAGATAATTTGTTCATTTGGCTACGAACGTTTAGATGAAAGATAGACATTTCGTTATTTTTGACAGAGGGGCCTGGACGTCATTGCAGGCAAGGAGATGTATATTCCACACAGGAGGACATACTATACAAACAAAACAATAACAAATCAAATCAATTTTCCTTCAGTTATTAGAGATTTAACATTATTGTGTAAATGAAAACATCTCGCGCGATACTGAGCTAGATCATTACCAAATGGTCGTCAAACAATAACTTAAACATAGAGAGGTCATCGGTCAAATATACCTAAGTTTGTTAGCTTACATCGATCACTTAACAATTGACTTACATAAGTGTATACCGATCAACATCTTCACAGTTTCGTATAAATGATTTTCAATTAAATATTAATATCGCGTGATCAAAGATGGGTTCTCTGTTGTGGTCAGCACATCATGGCCGCCTTTGCTATAACATTCTTACAGGGTCTCAGTACTACAAGTCGTTGATGTTTGTCCCGATTTGTAAATGAACTTCGAATTCGAGCTAAAATACATGAAAACGTCTTTTTATAGTTTTATATACTCTTAGATTTGATATTTAAAAGACATTTTGACAGAAGTATAATTTACATTGATACCATCGGGTAGTGTCCGGTAAATGTTTTACCTTGGGTTTACAGCCGGTGTTTA